ATTTATTTGGGGAGGCAAAGCCAGGAAGGTCACTTACTGTCGTTGCATGAGATAGTTGACCAGTTCGCGGAGAGGGTGGGGTATAAATACAATGAAATAAAATAAATAAATAAATAAAAGCTGTTTCGCTGACTTAGCTGGGGAACGAAGATCCATAAGGATTCTTTGGTGTTTCTTCCTCCCCACGGAGACCAATCTCATTACCAGGCTTCTATAGGAAAGCTTTCCTTTTCCTTTCTTGTATAGCCAGGAAATATACAGAGATAAGCAGCAGGAGGTGAGCTTTAATCCTTAACTAAAATAAATCCATGGGAGAGGCTGAGTAGTTAAAATGGAGCTGACAGGATAAAACTAAAAACATAAAAATAGAGCAAGCTGAACTCCAAAAAGCAGCTAGTTGCCAGTCACCATCTTGGAAAATCTTCCTCCTGAAATTCAAGCTGAGCAGCAAGCGTAGAAAGCAATTCTAGAAATCTGCTTGGTCACAACTGCACCCAACCCATAGAATCATAGAATCCAACTCATAGAATCCATCCAACACCAGCTGAGAATCTTTGGGTACATTCAAAAGTTTCACATGGAAGAATATCCAACAAAAAGTGTTACAGCAGAATTAGAATAAAGATAAAAAAAGGTACTAAACTATTGCTGCCACCGCCATGCACTCCCAGTAACAGTTCATGCCTATAAATTTCATGATTTTCAGTTTGGATGCAATGTTTTACCACTCAATTTCTTCATTAGAATTATTCCAGATGTTTCCTTTTCATGACAGAAAACAGAAATGCCCTACAGTTTCTTTTCAAACAGCAAATTAATTTGCACATAATTTGCATTTTTATGCCGAAAGATTGAGACTTATTCACTTTAAATCCACAGATAATCCTAAACAGCTTTCATGATATTTGCCGATTAGTACTACACTACAGGATTCAAATTAAACTATGTGTGGAAAACAAATGTTCTTAAAAACTAAGTTGCTCAAAGATGGTACAATACTAACCACCTATTTCCCTATTAAAAAGAAGGCTGAGGCAGAGAAGAGTGGCCTGTTTATGATCACCTACTGAATAATACTTAGTGTAATTTTTTAAAGAAATAGGTAATTTGGTCTCACAATATCATCGCGCTCTAACCATATTCAAGTTCTACTAAAAACTGGACAACACTTTGTACACGAAAATAAATTGCCATGGATTTGTTGGATCCTAGAAGCTTGTAAAAAGTAAAAATCCAGTAAATGTATACATGCATATTTACAACATTCTAGCCTTTAGACCCATGCAGTGATCAAAAGCTTTGATGGAAATATCTTGTAGCCCACACATATGCTTAAAGCTCCAATATTGAACATGGGATACAATCAGTAATATAACATTAACTAGGAATAAGGCCCGTTGAGGCAATAAATACAACGAGATCTAGAAAGAGGCTCTGGGAGAGTGCTCTGGCTTTGGGCAAACAGTGTCAATTTGCTGTGGCGAACTCAGCAGGGTATAATGAAACAGTCCACTGTTTTCTCCAGAGGAACTGCTCTCTGCTACCTGAAGAGCAGTTGTAATTTTGAGTGATCTCTAGCCCTCACCTGGAGATTGGCAGCAATTGTTACCCAGGACGAAATGGCTGGTTTGGAGGGTGGAGTCTATGGCATTCTACCTGTCTGAGGTCCCACCCCTCCGCAAACCCCACCCTCCCCAGGCTCCACCCCTCAAATCCCCAGGAATTTGCCAGCCTGGAGTTGGAAACCCCATCTCCTTCCCAGCTAACCGTCAACCTACCATTATCTGCCCCTTTGACTTCAGCTGACTTCCGCCCTCCCTTCTGCAGAGCAATTGTAATTTT